GATTTTTATGTGGCCCGTTTGATTGATGATGAATCACAAGAGGAATTTCCTTTATTTTTTTGGGATGATGGACGATTTGACTACGAAACTAAATTAAAAATTCAAGAGTTAGTGGCGGGCGATTACATTGTGGTGCGAGCCCAAAAAAGAACTAATCCGCGGGATGGTAGAGAAATTTACCACGTATTAAAATTTGAAGATAGCCCGGACAAAGGCGATAACTCAGAAATTTTTTAATTTTAATTCTCTGGCAGTTCCTCTTTTTTAATTAGGCAAAGTCAAAAATTTCTCGCTAACCGCTAAAAATATTCTTAAATAAAAAAATGCCCGAAACTAAGCAGCCAATTAATTCTTGAACCTTATTTAAAAAATTTAAATTTAAAGTAATTAGGCATTTTTTGGTGGTTACTCATTATATTAAATTTTTATTTGATGGTTGTTTTCTAAGTTTAAATTTGCTGGCTAAAATCAAAATTATTTTCCTTTCTTTATCAAAAGGGGTCTTCTTCGCGTTTTTTGCGATACCAGCGCCAAAGAAAAATTAAAAGAAAACCCCCTATGGCTAGCAAAGTTAAAGTTTGTTGAGAAAACGGACCAAAATCGTTTCCCGTTTGAACTTCGTTTTCCGTAGGTGCTTCCGGCGATAAATCCAGCAAACTTAGGTCAACTTGCCGTTCATTTAATACCGCTAATTTTCCCACCATTTTTCCTTGCTTGCTTAGATCAAGTTTGGTTTTCACTTCGGCTTGGCTGGATTTTTCGCTTTCACTTAACTCCTCCTGGGCGGATAATTCTGCAAATATTTTTTGAAGTTCTTGCAGTTGCTCGGCTTTTTTTTTCAATGAATTAGCGGAAAACTCATTAAAAACCTGCTGAGCAAGTTTGATTCGAGATAAACAACTAAGCTTATCGAGAAGGCTTGACACTTTTTGTAGTAATTCGTTTTGTTCTTTGTTTAAAGGACTGATATTGGCGAATAAGTATCTAATCTCAAATATTATTTTTCTTTGTAAAAAATAATTTTGTTCATTTTCATTTTGCAGTTCTCGGTAGTACCGTAGCAAAGGATTAATTTGTCAAATAGCCAATCAATTTTGTTTTTTTTCTAATAAACTTTGGCTTTGTTTGGTAAGTTCCTCACTGTCTTTAACTTGCTTGATTTGTACTTTTTCGGAGGGGTCAAGGTTCGGAAATAATTTTTGCCCTAAAAGACAGTTAATTTCGCTCAAAAGCAAAGTTAAGTCTTGTTCAAATTGGAGGATTTGCGATTTATTTTCCATTTTTTCCAGTTCGGTTAACCAATTTTGGTGTTGCGGATGAAGTTCATCGGCCTTTAATTTAAAATTAGTCAAGGTTTCCGAAATATTTTTTTTGCTTTGGGCTTTTAATTCTTCAATTGCAACAATTTTAGGGCTGCGAATTTTTTTAATTTTGGTCGTTATTTTTTCCGTGTAAGTTCTTAACTCAATATACTTATTTAATTCATTTATTGCTTGCTCATAATTCCTTAAATCACCTAATTCATGGAGTTCCACGACGGGAGTTTTTTTTAATTCTTGCCGGATAAAATTTTTAAAATAAGTTTTAGCTTGGCTCAAATGCCTTTCCCTTTGAATTCCCATAATGTTGCTTATTAAATTGTCGGCTGTCTGGGAAGATTTAATTTTTTTTTTTTGGGTCTCAGTTAAAGGCGGGTCTCATTTTCGCTGAAAAGTCTCCATCATGCTATCAGCCAAAACACGATTAGTTTCTTTATATTCCTGATATCGGGGATCGTTTCATTGTTCCACTGAATAACCTAACCTAATAGCCTCGGTCGCTTCATTTTTTTTAATTTGAGCTTGGTTCCATTCTTCATATTCTCCGCCCGGAACTATTTCCTCGGCACGGTAACCTAAGTTGTTAAGATTAACTAATTGAGTTTTTATTTTTTGGATTAATTGCTCTAAACCGGAATAGTCAAGCCAACCATCCCCTTGCAGGCAAGTATAAAAATCTGTTCAAGTTAAATTTTCCAAAACTTCGGCTTGGCTAAGTTCATAATTGGCGAGCAGTTGTTGAAATTGGGAGTCATGGGCCAAAATCAAGGTTCAATTTTGTTCTAAGGTTTCATTTACCAAAAAATCTTGCTTTTTTATTTCCTCTTCTAAACCTAAAAATTCTTGCTCAATTTTTTTTAGTTCTTGTTGTAATTGGTCTAATTGGTGGGAGCCGTGATATTTTTCTTTGAGGATAGTAAGTTTTTTTTGGAATTTATGGGGGTTAGTAAATACTTCTAATTGGCGGGATAGATCGTTTTGCGGCTGGCTTAGGGTTTGGGCTTGGGCGGGCGGGAATTGCTTCAATAAAATGGAAAGTTTTTGTAAATTTTTTTGACCTTCTTTGATTCTTGTTTGATAATCATTATGATATTTAACGAGAAATTTTTGGATTACTTCCTCGCGGGGATCATCAAGGGTAATTTCGGAGTTTGGTTGGATTTTAGTTAAAGAATGGTAGGCTTGCCCAAGGCGTAATATTCTATCTTCTTTATCCTGGGCCAAGACAACCCGCAAGTCGGGGATAGTAAATCTAACTATTTCTTTTTCATTTATTCTTTGTTCGGTTATTAGTTTAATTTTTTCGTAATCTTTTAGCCCTTGGTTAGTTAAAGCCCCCCCCGTAGCAAACAAATAAGTGTTATTATTTAAGGCTTTTAATTCTTTTACCGGAACTTCTAAATTAATTTGCCAAGGAATAGCAATATTTAATTGAAAGTCAAAGTTGGTTTGGATAGTAAGTATTTTACTGGTCTGGTCAGCCGGTATTAGATTATAATTTTTAATTTTATTCAATTTAAAAAGGTATTTATCTTTGTTTTCTTCAATTAGGTTTCTATACTGGTTACTGCTATCTAAAAGGTGAATTTTTTTGATTTTTTCTCCATTTCAAAGGTGAATATAGGCTAATTCTATTTCGCAGTAGTTGGCGGTCGGTTTAATTTGCTGGACAGCAAAAAGAAAATCAGTTTTAAGCGGGGTAAGGCGTGCCTTAGGAGAATTAATTTTTAAAGTCGCGCCGCTCGACTCGATTTCATTTTCGTGAAGGTTTTGGATAACAAATGACTTATTGATTCCGCCTTTTATTAGTGTTTTGGACTCCTCCGTCAGAGCAAGTATGATGCGGTTTATGGTCTGCTGGTTATAAGTACATTCGGTAACTTGAAGTTCTGAATAACCTGGCACGGTTGGGTTCTCTTCTTGTAATTTAAACTTGATTAACATTTTTGGTTTTTATTGTCTGGGGTTTTTCCTTATTTAATAAAAGATAAAAACTCTCTCTCTCTCTCTCTCTCTCTCTCTCTCTCTCTATTAAAAATTGAAAATTATGGCGGAGTGAGAGGGATTCGAACCCTCGACTACCTAAGTAGTAATTCCTTAGCAGAGAATCCCCTTCGGCCACTCGGGCATCACTCCATTTATTCAATTTTGCTGTGCAAGCGGGCATGTTGCAAATGCAGATAGTCAATAAATCGCCAATTAAGGCAGTAATTAACTAATTTTTCTACATAATCTTTTTTATTAATTCCATATTGCTTAACATAAGCATGTTCTCACATATCAATCCCAATTAAGGGACAGTAATTAAGCATTCAAGGACTATCTTGGTTAGCCGTTCTAATAATTTTCATTTTTTGCTGGCTATCTAAAACTAATCAAGTTCAATAACTCCCGTTGCGAAGATTATCAACAGCATTATTTAGGGCTTCCTTAATTAACTTGATTTTTAAGTCATCTAAACCATCAAAACCGTCCTTATGTAAAGCCTTTAAAAAATCTTCACTAACTAATTCTTGCTGGTTTTTTTCGGCGACCGAAACTATTTGGGAAGCCAAATGACTGAAAAATAAATTGTGATTAATTAGCCCGCCGCCGTGGAAACGAATTTCCGTTCGCACCGCCGGAGAAAAAGGTAATTTTTCTAGATTTTGCAAAAGTTTTTCTAAATCGGGATAATTTTTTTTTATATTTTCTTGTTGATTTTCTTCTAATTGAGAAAGAACTAAATTTAAATTTTTTTCGTATAATTTATGATTTCCGTGGTAATGGTCGTTCATGATTTCCCGGGAAATATAAGGTTCTAGGGCGTGCAAAGGATAAAATTCTGCTAATTCTATTCGTTGGTAGAAAATTACGGCTTTTGGTTGGTTTTCGTTCATGAACTATTATAACTAATTTTTAAGTATAATACAAAAAAAATAATTTATATGGATAAAAAAATTTGCTTTGATTGCGGGAGAGACATTGCCCCGGGGCGAGAAGTAAGGTTAAGAGAAGAAGGATGAGGTTGAAGTATGGGGGGCGGTCGCTACGGAGGAGGCTGAGGTGGCGGAGGTGGTTGAGGCCGCCGGGGAGATGCGACTTTTCTTTGAATTTGCGTTTCTTGCTACCGAAAACGAAAACAGAAGCGGTTAATTATTATCTTAATCATGGTTGGAATTTTTCTAGCTCTAATTTTAGCAAGTATTATTTTCACTTTAATAAGAATAGGAAGACATTTTTAAATTAATTCTGTGGAGAGAAATTACCCGGTTGCTATTTTCGTCAATTTCTAACACTAAACCGTTAAATTGTCCTTGACCTTGAGAACAGGGACGCATGGGAGAGGGAAAATTATATTTGCTACGGAGAATAATTCCGGCTGGTTCGGCCCCAATAATTCCTTCGCTGGGTCCGGTCATTCCTAAATCGGTGATAAAAGCCGTTCCGTGGGGGAGAATTTTTTCGTCCGCAGTTTGGACATGGGTATGGGTTCCTCATAAGGCAGTGATTTTTCCCGGAAATTTATCGTCTAAGTAATGAGCCAATACTGCCTTTTCGGCGGTGGCTTCAGCATGAAAATCAAGCAAGTGAATATCAGATTTATCGTTTTCAAGCAACTTTTCTAAAATAAAATAAGGATTTTCCGCCGGGGGCATAAAAGTAATACCAATTAAATTAG